TCGCACACCAAAGGAATTTAAAAGTAGTTTAAAGTTTGAGTAAACAAGCTTTCGTGCTTTTATTTTGTAGGCAAAACCACTAAAGAGGAAGTGATTATGTGAGTAACTGTTGCTGTCATGACTGAGCTCTATTTCAGCACTGCTATGAAAGTATTTATTTATGTTTTATGCCACCATCATAGCATCATAATCTGGTAGCGGGCCAGATATTGTTGGCGGGCAGTTTTCGCGATGGTCCATAATTACAGAGAGAATTAATGTATTCCCTTGTCTTGTTTGTATAAACTATTACGTGGTTTACAATAGACTGTGGTGCAGAAACAATGACAATGTTTCAGACTCTTGTCTTACATTTTCCATGTTATCTGTCAGTGGCCAAATAACAATAACAAATGGTTTTACTGAATAATTAAGTAAATATAATTTCTTTATGTATCTACCTAAAGAAACCTAATTTCTTGACCGGCCAATCTATGCTGTCTCAGAAGAGACACCTTTTGTGCTGTGTCAGCCACCGTAGCTGTCCTAAGCTCTTAGAAAGTTTTTTTGGCTTATTTATTTAAACAAGGTACAATGACAAACTGTATATGGAACAGATCAAATGTTTCAAGTCCAGGGTGTGAGGGTTCAAATTATAGTCTGAGCTTCGTGGGGGTCTCACGCCCCATTTACACCTGGTATTAAAATGCGATCTGTTACAGATCTGATCGCATTTTACAGATACAGATCGCATTTTGCCTGCAGAGATAAATAAATAAATAAATAATGAGAGAGTGAGAGAGAGAGAGAGAGAGAAATCATGAACATTTCCCTCTTTCACACACACAAACACACACAGCAATCCACTACTCGCACCAGATGTCTGAAATATTGCAACAAAGTTTCAATAGCCTGTTCAAAGACTATTGCTCAAGGAGAGACACAATTCTGCCCTTTATGGTAGGTATAATATTAAAGTGTTATTATTTTACGCACTGCTGGCCGTCGGCACACAGTATCAAGCATATTATTATATGGCCAAGTTCAAGTTACCAAAGTCAATCTACTGACGCTGGACAGTTTTTTACGGCAACGTGCAAATGTAGGAGTCAGGAGTCAAATTGAAATCACCTCAAAACAGAATATAATCAGTGGGAAATTTTGCATTTATTTCCTTGATGGTTGTTGTCAGTTAATGCAATAGCTTTTTGTTTTTAAAATCATCATTGTATCCATAAACATTAACTAGAATAAGAAGAACACTATCAATCTCTAGAACACATGCTATCCAATGTCCGTCATTATCTGCCTAATCACTTATGATCTTACCGGGGCATCTGTTGAAGCATATGGCTACTCCCGCCGATCAATTCGTGCCATGACTAAGAAGGATTTTGTCACCCTATTGTTGACTCCAAAACTTAACGTCTGATGCATCAGAGTGTGTTTCTTGAAGCAACACGCAGTTAGCTTTCTGCCCTTTTCAAATTTTCAGTTTTTAACTGGAACACAGAACACATATGGAATACTATAACTTCTTTGTGAAAGGAATTTGGGAAGTGGAGTAGAAAACTGTTAGGATATGAGTCCCATAATTATAATTTTCCACTGTTTACAGTTCCTTCCATGATGCGTTTGCTGTTGATGAATATGGACCCCTAAACCCCACAGCCTTTCCTTCTTTCCTTGCCTGCTCAATTTTTGGCCACATCGCCTGTCTGGATAGCCAGTCCTCTTGTAACAGGTCATCTGTGAAGCGGATTTGTTGTTCCTTGCAGATGCGTGAGGTCTTGGTTCATTTCCAGATCATCTCTCACTGCTCTTCTATTGAAGAGAATGATGATTTGCCGTTGCCTGTTTTCCATCGCCCTTCCCTGAGTTGAATTGCACCGTTTTAGATATTGCTGCTGGTATGGTGCTGTCTTGCTGCATTGACTGCTAATATCTTCCATGCGGCCGTCTACTTGTTTGCCATTCGATAGCATTTAATATGGTTTCCATTTATGTGTCATCAGATGTACCTCTTGTTATCTTACCCATGAGGGTTTTTTCTGGAGTATTTGTGAGTGTTTTGTCTCCCCTATCCTGTTTGTTGGAGCTAGAAGTTTCCATGGGTGCAGCATAGCTCTGCTCTCCACCGTCTTCGGTATGTTTGAATGGGAGATTTTTGGATATTGAAGTTCTTATGAGTTCAGGGAACAGGAATGCAAAAGTAATTTTAGCTTCAATAACTGTTACACCAGGACTCAGTTTGCTGAGCTCTGGGGGATACATCTGCTTAGCACGCCATCCCTGAAATCCCACCCGCTCTTTGAAAGGTTAGGGGGCAGTGGTAGACTGGACCAATAGTTGCAATTCACAACCCTCACCACTAGATGCCACTAAATCTTACACACTGAACCTTTAAGGTTTTAAATGTGGAGCTCAACATTGCTCTGCCACAATCAATGGACTAAATAAAGAAAATAGACTTTAACATTAAGATACTCAGTGTGGATTGGTATAATATCAGCCTTATGTCTACAGTTTAGTGTCACCACAACTTTCACATTATATTAATCTCAGCAAAGAAGGAAAAAATGGTGTCTGACCCCAGAGTCTCCAGTCCACAGAGTGGACTCTCCAGAAAATCACACAGCAGCTTCACTCCTGAATCCTGCAGGTTGTTGTCACTCAGCTGTAGCTCTTTCAGATGGGAGGGGTTGGACTTCAGAGCTGAGACCAGAGAAGCACAGCTGATATCTGACAAACTGCAGCGACTCAATCTGAAAAAAAGATTAAATGATAAAGAAAAAAATCCATTTCTAATCCAATCAGATGTGTTCAGGCTTTAAATGTGGAGCTCAACATTACTATGTCCTAATCAATGAGCTTTTCCCTAAAAAGAGTAGAGGGACTTTGTCACTGTGTTATTGTCGATCATCATAATGTCAGCACAACATTCATAGAGCTGATTTCAGGCCAGTCTGAAATTAGAGGATCAATATAAGTGGTCTCTTCCTAACACATTGCACACACACAGAACTACAATATCAGAAATGACTAGGGCTTGACCTGAATATTTAAATATTCATCATCATTAAAATGATTTGAGTTTTGTTTTCGTATGACTGACCTCTGCTCACAGCAGTGAACGTAAGGTTCCAGTTCACATAAAAGGGGAAACAAAAAGAAGCCTTCAGCTGTACGGGAGCACTTTAAATTGAGTGATGACAATGGCAGTGTGGCAGTTATGGGATTAATAATTTTACAATTGCTTAATTTCATTACCAACTCAACACAGTCAAATAGCCTACATTTTGAGTAACATTTCAGTACATTAACATTTCAGTAAACTGTGGGCTACAACAAACAAATAACTTAATGAACACATTTAAATAATTAGACCGATTGGTGTTTCTGTTAATACTGTTGCACTACTGGAAATAGCGCTCATTCCGCCTGCTCTCTCAGGACCCCAGCCAGGCTAAATATTCCTGTATTCTGCTCTGGACCTGCTTGGCACAGCCTTCCACCCTCTGGACTCTCAGCTAAGGTTCCCCCTGCTCTGCACAGCAGCCACCAACCCAGCATCTAGACTCTCACTTTGCGTTGTTCTTCCCCGGCTCAATATCCCGTCCCTTCAACCCTGTAGTAAATATTCCTCTTTTATCTAACTCCAGTCTCCTCCCTCTCTTAGTTCAGCATATGGGTCTATCAGCCTAGATGTTAACAAAGTCAAAAACAAAGTTTTGGTTATTATAACTTGCTGTTTTAGTTATCCTACACTATGAGAATAAAGAATTGAGCCTGCTTATGTGAAACTCTCATGGCTGAAGCCTAATACATGTGGACATATGAGTATTGTATTGAGATAGGTGTCAAATGTCCTTTAAGACAAACAAGTTTTTGGTGAAAACCATTTTCCTGTTTTTTTGTTGCAGTCTAAAGGTCATAGGCTACAAATAATTAATGCTGACATGAAAACAGTAAGATCAAAGATCAGAAATTTTTATGAATGACACCAACAAATGAATCCTCACTTCTGTGACTTTCAGTAGGTGCAATACTTGTCTTTTGAAGACTGGTGCCCCCTTTGAGCAGCAGAACCATTTAAATTTACTCCTTTAAATGTGAACTATGATTCCTATCTCTGTGTGATTTTCAATGTTGTTCAGTGTCTTTATATTTTCTGATGGATGTAACCTAAGCTGTACCCTTGGAGATGGTATGGAGTCCTAATGATATTAACAGGTTGTGTTATCTGTCAGCCTCTCAGCTACACAGGAGCTGCTGCTGACAGGCGACTGCTTCTGTGGAGGAAGGTGCTCATTGCAGGTGCAGTCCAAACAAAATGATAGTTAGATAACTAACATCATTTCATCTTGTCTAACCTTTAAGTGCCTCACGTTGTCAGGTCTGAGAGAGACAACTGGGTGCGTGCATGTAGATGGGTCCTGAAGCAGCAGGGATGGTAGCCATGGTAGCAAGGTAGAGTGACAGTCACCCAACCTATCATTAACATTTGTCCGAATGGAACGAGTGTATGTGTTTATTGCAATTTTTCAAACCTCTTTTTCAGAGCACTTGTATTTTTAATATTGTATTGTGTTGTATTGTTATATGAAGATAGTTTCAACAAATGTGACATAAAGTGTTAGAAAGACATTGTCTACCCTGCCTTTAAGGGAACAGAATATATTTAAAATTGATATACAGTCTGTTGTTACAGCAGTGTGGGTTGTTTCTTTACCAGCTATATCAACTTCTGATATCAGAAGATCATTACAGTTCCTAACTTCCCCTTTAGTGAGCTTTGCATTCATGTCTTTCTTTCCTAAAACTGTCCGCAGCCTATTATTATCTGCTATTATCAGATCTTCAACAATCTTATTCATATCCTTCACACACACTCTACAGCCTCATCAGTACTGACACCATCTTCACTGACTGATAGAGCACAATGTTAGTCTGTGGAAGCTGAAAAAGTGTCCTGTCAAACAATTTATTTCTCTAATCTTCTGTACAGTCAGTGAACTGACCTCAAAAACTTCAGTCTACAGTGTGGACTCTCCAGTCCAGCAGACAGCAGCTTCACTCCTGAATCCTGCAGCTTGTTGTTACTCAGGTCCAGCTCTCTCAGATGGGAGGGTTTGGACTTCAGAGCTGATGCTACAACTTCACAGTGAATCTCTGAGAGCCCACAACTAGAAAGTCTGTCAGGACACACACAAATGACAAAAAAAATTATTATGAAAAGTGACACTTTGATGACAAAACAGTTTGACATCATGTTTTGATAAACATTTGCTCTCTCAGCTAACAGGTTCTCACTGTTCACATGAAAAACATTCTCATCCTCTCTCATTTCTTCAGATGTTTTAACCTCTGTTTTGACTTAAAAGGGCTATGTATATTTTAATGTAATTAATCACTTTTTTTGCCTATTTGTGAACGGGTTGTAACTTCACATAAAAACTATTAACTTTCTCAGTTGCTTGGAACAGTGACTATGCTGCTGCCTATGTGAAGATATCTGCTAGGATTTCCGGCAAAGTCAATTGGTTTATATAGGCTGTGACTTTCATGTGGGCTCCCGAGAATCTTGCCTAATGATTCTGAACAGTACACTCAGCAACAATGCAGCAGCGTTGCTAACAACAAAATGACCAGCTCCCACAAGAACACAGACTCTAAACACTAAACTCGAGAATCAGTTGAGATGTTGCGTTAAAACATGGTCAACATCGGAAAGGCATTTGAGTCACTGAGAAACGTCTGCTTTGTTTTGGATGTAAAAGTTTACTTTCATTCTATTGGTCAGGTAAGCTAACATTACTGCAAAGCATGTGAAATATATCATGATTTTGTGTTTTAGGCACAAGTTAGGGTTTGATACTGTCCATTCCTGTTTTCCTGTTTTTTGCCTCTGTTTTTGTTTAGGTTTGGTTAGTTGATCATTGCCTCCTTGTTCTCTGTTGTATTTGGTTTCACATGTCCTTGTGTATTGTCGCTAGCTTTACTTCCTGTTTTATTTTGTAGTGATTAGTTTCATGTGTTTTTTGTCTAGCTTTGTTTCCTGTATGATTGCTTATGTGTCTCACCTGTGTTAATTGCCATGCCTGCTTGTGTGTGTATATATTGCCTTCAGTTCTGTTTAGTCCTCGTGGTGTCATCATCTTATGCTGAGTGTTCCTGCCTGTTCTTTGCTTCATGGATTATTCCTTGACTAACAGACTTTTCAGCATTTTGGATTTGTTCCCCGTCTTGGATTGCCCCTTTTGTTTGGACTCTCACCTTCTGTTCATATAAGCTTGTTTATTTGCACCGCAACCTCCTCATCAGTGTCTGCAACTTGGGTCTACACCTCTGTTCCTCTGTTACTGCACTCGGCCTTTTCTGATACTGTGCACTTTGCGGCCAAAGGATTTTCATTTTGAAATGGGGAAAAAAAAGTCTTGTTTTCCATTTACCATTAGAAAATAGGAAAACGACTCGTTCTTTTTGTTTTTATATTAAAAGACGGAAAATGTAAAAACGACCTGTATCTGAATGTCTTTTATATGCTTATAAAGGGAAATCGGAAAATAAAATGTGTGTAGAAATCTAATTCCTCAGTTTTGCATTTGTTTTTTCTTTTGTGACCCGGAAGCTATTGTAAGTAGTGGTTGTGGGTCTACGCTGCATACCAGGAAGTCAGGAGTTTGTAGTAGGCTTTATCCAAAGTTCTGAAGAGGGACTACAGAGGCCATATGTGACTGAAGTAAAATTTAATACGATGAATAGAAATTATATTGCAGAAGGCTGGCAATACATTGGCCAAAAATAACTAAAGCAAACTGAGCATATAACGTTAGTCTAAACATTTCTACATTATCCTAAGTTTGATAATTTGAAAAGACTAGTAACATAGCTATTTGGGTTTCAGTTATTATTGACAGTTCAAAACATTTGCATATTAACAATTTTTGGCATAATAGAGAAAAGGCTTAATAGCCAATGGTAACTTAAATGGTGATTGATGTCCTTCATGGTCGATGGATTTCTTTTCATTGCAGGAAATTCAAATACAACACTTTATGGCATATTTCAACAATCAGGGGGGAAAAGTGTTGAAACAATATTAGATTACAGCAAAGCCAAAAGTAAACAAATGTTTTTGGACGAATATGCAGTTTTCATTACAGAAAAATAAAAAGTGCAATGTCTTGTGAGGATACAGCTACTGCGTTGTTTGTTTTTCTGAGAGAAATGTGTGGATGTGGTGTGCTGAGCAGGGACTTGTCAAGCACTTCTGTCCTGATAGCCAACTTAAAGATTTAATTTAATTTCCATCTATAAACACATGAAAAACAATCGGATAACAAGATTATTTTCGGTTTTCAATATCAAAAGAAAAAATGGTAATTGGGAAACGAGCTTCACTGTCCTCACAGAGTTGCATGTTTTCAGTGCTAGACAGTTAGCTAACAGTGTGATAAACTTCAATAAACTCAAGGTGTAACTTTTCTTGATTATTTAATGAAGTATCACATACTGTAAAACTGTAACAAAAGCACAAATGGTAAACAGAAATTAGAATATAACCAATACACAAGTAAGACACAACTGGAAGAAATGAAAAATGCAGTCATTGTGCTAACCACTCCCAGCTATACTAGCTATCGATGTTCTACTACCTAGTGTTTAGTTTTCACAAAACAAAGCATAGTCTCTGTATGTGTAGTAGTAAAGGCAAAAATGGTGATAAAATACTTACGGAAAAATAGTGTCCAAGCAACAATCCACAAAACAAAATTACAGCAGGAGAAGGCAACAGTACTCCACTGTTCACCTGGCTTACTTGGCCTTGTGGAAATCCCCTTTTCTACAATACAGTACACTAATTTGCTGAACTCAATAGAGGGCAGTAAAAGAGTCATTTTTCGTTTGTTTTTTTCGTTTCAAAAACAAAAGCCGCTGAATGCCAAGTACATGGACCGTAATGGCGATAACTACACCAGCAAACATGACCCAGGTCAGTATCCCGTGTACCGGTATTTTGTAAGTGTTGATTTTAGTCTGCAAGGACTTAAGTATCAGTAGAAAGCAAATGTCGGAACAGTTATATGGATCTGGTATCGTTTGCTTTGTGATATCCAGTTTAAATTTGTTGTCATTTTACCGATACTCAGTTACACATATTTACACTGCCAGTCTCAGTTGCCGTAATTTAAGTGACATATACAATAATGCTACTGTTGGCGCACATTTAAGTCGTTTTGCACGCGTGTTTCGGGCGTGCTGTTTCCTTGTGGCTTAAAATAATTAAATAAAATAAAATAATAAACTTTCAAAAGTCTGAACTTAACGTCGGATATGCCAATCCATTTATTAACATAACAAAAAATAAAACATTTATTCAATAATAACTTAACTCAAGGCAGTCTCCATAATTACACGCCGTGCCTTACGGGCAAAAACCATGCACCTCGCAGTGGCCACACCTGCACTAATTACCCAATGACTTAAGTAGACTTGTGGCTGCACACAGCGCCAACCAATCGCAATACACAGAATGGCTCCAACAGCTACATAACGGTGCATGACAACAACACAGTGAAAGACCTCTTCAGTACACTAATGTTACTTATTACGTTCTAACTGTTATATATAAGCAGGGTTGGGAGGATAACTTCAAAAATGTAATCTAGTACAATTATGAATTACCTCATACTACCAGAAGTGACAAGGACACTAGCAAAAAACAAAACCAGGAACCATCAGTCAGGAAGGATAAGGAGAGAGCAATTGTCTATGACTACCACCTGCAAAACCATTCCATTCTGGGGGCTGTCTTGCTGTTGCTCATCCAGTGTACCTGTTGTCGTTTACATTTGCACCAATGGTGGTATTTTACACCATCACTTATGCTTTCTTACTGTACAGACTGATGTTTAATTGACATGATTGTGTATTGTTATGATTGTTTCCTTATTTTTTGAGCAGTATATATTCATCAAACTTCAGCTGTTGGTAGAAGGTGTTTATTTTCTGCTGCAACTCTTCTCTATATCAACATCGGAGATAGTTGTGATTGAAGGCTGCGGTGATAAAACCTCAACAACAACAACAACAACAATATTTTAGGTATTATATCAATTATATCAATTTTAAAGTGTACAAAACTGCTAATCCACAATATTTTAAATGATAATCACATCTGGACTTACCGAGCCTTTCTGCAGTTCCTCACAGCTGGAATCAGTCTCCGTCGTCCCTCCTCTGATGTGTTGTACTTCTGCAGGTCCAACTCATCCAGAACCTCCTCTGACATCTGCAGCATGTAGGCCAGAGCTGAGCAGTGGATCATAGAGAGTTCCTTCTCTGATCCGTTCTTTGACTTCAGGAACTCTTGGATCTCCTGATGTACTGAGTGGTCGTTCATCTCCGTCAGACAGTGGAAGATGTTGATGCTTCTGTCAGGAGAGATCTTATAACTGTTCATCACCTTCAGATTGTTGATGGCTCTCTGGATGGTTCTTGAACTGGTCTTTCTCTGACCCAGCAGGCCTCCTAAGAGTCTCTGGTTAGACTCCAGAGAGAGGCCATGAAGGAAGCGAACAAACAGGTCCAGGTGGCCATTTTTACTTTCAATGGATTTCTCCATGGCTCTCTGCAGGAAGACATCCAGGGATGAGCCACGGTTATCACAGAAACCATGAAGCTTGGATATTTTCTTGAGCAAAGACTTTGGCTTTGAGTCCCTGTGTTTATAATCTTTTCCCAGGAAGTCCTCCAGTCCCTCTGTGGTCCTGCTGGTGTAACAGTGGAACACGTAGACTGCAGCCAGAAACTCCTGAACGCTCAGATGAACAAAGCAGTAGACTGTTTTCTGGAAGATCACACTCTCTCTTTTGAAGATCTCTGTACAAACTCCTGAGTACACCGAGGCCTCTGTGACATCAAGACCACACTGCTCCAGGTCTTCTTGGTAGAACATGATGTTTCCTTTCTCCAGCTGTTCAAACGCCAGCCTCCCCAGCTTCAGAAGAACCTTCCTGTCAGCCTCCGTCAGCTCCTGTGGACTCGTCTCATGTCCCTCATCGTACTTCTGCTTCTTCCTCTTTATCTGAACCAGCAGGAAGTGTGAGTACAGGTCAGTCAGGGTCTTGGGCAGCTCTCCTCTCTGCTCTGTAGTCAACATGTGCTCCAGAACTGTAGCAGTGATCCAGCAGAAGACTGGGATTAGACACATGATGTGGAGGCTCCTGGAGGTCTTGATGTGTGAGATGATTCTGCTGGACAGCTCTTCATCACTGACTCTCCTCCTGAAGTACTCCTCCTTCTGGGCGTCAGTGAAGCCTCGTACTTCTGTTACCCTGCCGACACACGAAGGAGGGATCTGATTGGCCGCCGCAGGTCGGGAAGTTATCCAGACCAGAGCCGAGGGAAGCAGATTCCCCTTGATGAGGTTTGTCAGCAGCAGGTTGACTGATGACTTCTGTGTGACATCAGACACAACCTCACTGTTGTGGAAATCCAATGAAAGTCTGCTTTCATCCAGGCCGTCAAAGATGAACAACAGTTTCCAGACGGCGAGCTTCTCTGCTGGGATCTTCTGTAATGTTGGATGGAAAACATGGAGCAGCGTGAGGAGACTGTGCCGCTCATCTTTGATCAAGTTCAGCTCCCTGAATGAAAGCAGAACCAGCAGACTGACTTCTTGGTTTTCCGAGCCCTCTGCCCAGTCCAGAGTGAACTTCTGCACTGAGAAGGTTTTTCCAACGCCAGCGACGCCGTTGGTCAGAACCACTCTGATGGCTCTCTGTTGGCCAGGTAAGGCTTTAAAGATGTCCTGGCACCTGATTGGAGTGTCATGGAGGGTCTCCATCTTGGAAGCTGTCTCAAGCTGCCTCACCTCATGCTGGGTATTAACCTCTTCACTCTGTCCCTCTGTGATGTAGAGCTCAGTGTAGATCCTGTTGAGGAGGGTTCCACTTCCTGTTTCATCACTTCCTTCAGTCACACATTCACATCTCCTCCTCAGACTGATCTTATGTTCATCTAAAACTTCCTGCAGACCACTATCTGCTGAAAGAGAAGAACAAATATTCAGAGACTAAACAGAGAGCAAGAATCCAGATAAATAAATTTTTGGATTTATGATATTCATGATAATATTAAAAACCAAATGTCCCTGTAAAACTTTTTTCAGACATGACGACATCAGCGGACAGATGTTTAGTCTTACTTTGTACAGAGCTGCTCTGACTGGCTGTCTGCAGTCCAGCTCTTGTTCTGGATCTTTCTCCACACTGGGGACAGGAGGAGTCTCCTGATAAAGCAGACTGGTCCCAGTATGAGGCGATGCACCGTCTGCAGAACCAGTGTCCACAGCTGGTAGAGACTGGATCCTTCAGGACGTCCTGACACAAAGCACAGCAGGACGGCTGCTCCTCCACAGGAACATGACTCCTCTTCCTCTCTCTGTGAAGACATTTCATTAGAACTAAAATGATTTGTTGCTTGTTGTTGAAAAATCTCCAGATGTGTCCGACACTGTGTAGAAGCTCAGATGGTCACAGAGTAAAAGTGTCGTTAGTTTTCTGTTTGAATTCAGCTTTCAGTCAGTAATGAAGATGATTGTTCCTTTTATTTCAGCTCTCCTGCTTTCAGAAACACTAATTAACTGCTTTTCCTGTCTGACTGTCTAAACATTTAGTTATCTGCCTGCAGTTTGTTAATAACACAAACTCAACACTTCCTGCAGCTCCTTCACAGTAAAAGCCTCCATTAAAGAGAGCTGATTATGTCCTTCACTGTTTTACAGTCACTCTGGGCAGCTTAGCTTGAGTTAGTTAGCTTTGAACTGAGCTTAGAAGTGGTCTAAACACACAGCATGTAACAGCAGTGTCACAGGTTCATGTCCACAAATAGCCTTGTTTAGGAACAATATATGGTGGAGAGAATCTGAGCTCAAAGCTCCACTTACTAATGATTCAAAGCAAAGTGTTCATCAAGGTGAGCAAAGCTGAACTACAAATGCTTTTTTCACCACATGTTGCACAATTATGATATGAAGTGATTCAAGATGCATCTGGTGGATCAGAACAGCTGATCTGAGGAAGAGCCAAACAGCTCAGTGTTTAGAGGACAAATAGGAGAAAATGAAGGACGCATTTGAAGCAGATTCTCTCAGATTCTGAATCGTTCTAAATCTTTACAGTGACGTCAATGTGAGGGCAAAAATATATGAAGATGTTCTTGAAGTGTAAATTCTGAAATGGAGGTTCTCAGGTGTTTTGCTACGGAAATAAAATCAGATCCATCTTAGTTTGAAACAGTATCTGCACTAATAGTTCTGCTTCAGGAATATAAATCTTCCATCAGGTCAGTTTACAGTCTCTTACTTTGTGTCTGAGGGTCCAGGTTCATTACTGAAGGCTGGAGGAGGAAGACCTTTGGACTGGTCACTCTTCATAGACAGACAGGTGGATCCTGCAGATTCTGCTCGCTGTCTGCTGGACTGAACTCTGCAAACACCAAGATGTTTTTATTCATCAGCCAATAAAGCTAATTTGAATCGAATGGAAGAGAGAGAGAGAGAGAGAGAGAGAGAGAGAGAGAGAGAGAGAGAATAATGTTACTCAGCAAAACAGCAAAAAATTACCAGCAATCACTGAATGCGTTAGTATCAGTTCTCTTACTTTGTGTCTGAGGGTCCAGGTTCATTACTGAAGTTCAGAGGATCACCTTTGGACCGGTCGCTCTTCATAGACCGAGGGCTGGATCCTGCAGACTCTGCTCTGTCCCCCTCTTCCTCCACACAAACATTCATCTTCTGGACTTCAGTCAGTCTGAGAGGTAAAACAGTAACACTGACTGTGAGCTCAGGACACAAGAATGAAGAAGAACAAGTTTGTTCACGAGTCACAAGAGAACAAGAAGTAACACACACACACACACACACTGATGTAAATAATCAGTTTTGTTTAAGTTCCAACTAAAGCGCTTTAAACTAAATGAACTAAATGTTCTTTTACAGACTTATAGGGAACACAAACACAGTTCATCTCAGCACAGGAGCCCCTCATTTTTAACCAGTTAACATTTTTGGGGATGAAACTACTGAATCTTTTTGTCTGAATAATCTGAACTCAAAGTCCACTTAACAGCTTTTTCTGGAGCTTTAACCCAGTTTTTTACCAGTCAGAGCTCTACCTGGTCACTTATCTCTAAATATGTTTGTTTCCATGGTTTAATGTGTTTTATTCAGCCAATCAAGACTTTGTGTCCACAGATGAATCAAACTGTTGAGTTCAACGTTTCTTTCCTCTACAGTACACAGAGAGAAAACTGCCTCAGAGACTTTGACAGTAAAATAATAAAAATGTTGGATTAACACTCACCCTGCCTCAGCCTTCAGTTTTCCTCCTTCTGCTCTGTCAACTCAAAATGGAGTCTGAACTGACTGAACGTCTCGGGTTACGTATGTAACCCTGGTTCCCCGAGAAGGGGAACGAGAGACTGCGTCGGTTACGACACTATGGGAACGCCTCTAGGCGAAGCAGGTCTGAACGTGAATGAAATCACTCCAATCCTATTGGCCTGTTGCTAGAACGGTAAGGTGTGACGGAATAACCGGAGGAGTATAAAGCACACCTGTACACACTCATCATTAGCTTAAACTATGAAGCAGGCGCTTCAGGCGGGGAGAGAGGTGCGGCGGACCGACGCAGTCTCTCGTTCCCCTTCTCGGGGAACCAGGGTTACATACGTAACCCGAGACGTTCCCCTTCGAGGGAACTCGAACTGCGTCGGTTACGACACTATGGGAACGAGATACCCACTAAACCGTGCCGAAAACCCCGCCTGCCCCTGTGTGCAATAAAGTGGCACTACTAAGAGGAGAGCGCACGAGTGCCAGGTGCCGAAGGAAGGTCAAGACTGTAAAACCGAATGAATGTGTGCGGAGTGGCCCAGCCAGCCGCTAAACAACATCCTGCAAGAGGCCCCGGAAAGGAGGGCTCGAGAGGCCGCCTTGCCTCTGGTAGAATGAGCCCTCACAGCCACAGGTGAAGGCAAACCGCGCACCTGATAGGCCAGGGAATAGTCTGAACAATCCAGTTGCTAATAGCATGTTTGGATGCAGGGAGCCCGGCCCTGGGAGACCCAAACACACTAGCAGCTGGTCAGCCTTCCTCCAACGGGAGGACCTCAGAGTGTAAATACTCAGTGCTCTGACAGGGCAGAGCAGATGAAGTCTCCCGTCCTCCGCCGTCACATGAGGTGGAGGATGAAATGCCTGCAGCACTGTGGACCCTGCCGCACAAGAAGGCACTTTAGGGATGTATCCTGAACGAGGGTGCAGGATAGCCCTAATATTCCCCGGGGCAAACTCCAGGCTTGCGGGGAAACCGAAAGCGCTTGGAGCTCCCCCACCCTCCTCAGAGAGGTGATAGCAAGGAGAAAGGCCATCTTGAGGGTCAAGTGCTTAGCCTCAGCTGACTCCAGGGGTTTGAAGGGGGCCTCAGCCAACGCCCCAAGAACCACTGCCAGATCCCAAGTGGGAACCTTGGACCGAGTCGCAGGTCTCATCCTCCGGGCACCACGGAGGAAAGTACAACCAAGGGAAGTTTCCCCAAGAACCCCTCCCTCAGAGGGGTGTGGAAAGATGAAATAGCTGCCACGTACACCTTGAGGGTGGAAGGGGAAAGACCAGCAGAGAACCGGTCCTGGAGGAACTCAAGTACCTGAACCACCGGGCAGGTAACAGGGTCCACCGACCGCTCCCTACACCAAGTGGAGAAAACACTCCACTTCAGGCCGTACATCCTCCGTGTGGACGGGGCCCTGGAGCTCAGGAGGGTCTCGACTGCTCCGGCTGTTAGACCCGCCTCACGGCGGGCCGTCCAGGAGCGACATGATGTCCGAGAACCACACCCGGGTTGGCCAGAACGGGGCTACGAGCAGTAGGCCGACATAGTCCTGGCGGACCCGCTCCAGAACCCCGGGAGCAGAGCGACTGGGGGAAAGCGTACAGACGTAGCCTCGACCACGAATGTACCATGGCGTCCAGACCCAACGGGGCTGGAGGAACGAGAGAAACCATAGCGGGCAGTGCGTAGTCTCTTGAGACGCAAACAGATCCACGTCTATGGGGCTCGAACCACTTCGGGGTGAAGTCTCCATTCCCCGGGCCTCAGCCCCTGCCTCAACAGCAGGTCTGCTCCCTGATTCTGCGTCCCCAGGAGATACATCGCCCTGAGCGAAAGTAACCTCTGCTGGGACCATAGGAGGATCTGACGCGCCAGTCTGTCCAGAGGGCGCGAGCGCAGACCGCCCTGGTGATTCAGATAGGCCACCACCGCTGTGTTGTTCTCCTCGGAGCGAACCAGGACGTGGTGGCCTTGGAGATCGGGCAGGAACTCCTTAGAGCCTGGAACACCGCCAACATCTCGAGACAGTTGATATGCCACTCGGATCGATGCACCTGCCAGGATCCCCTTGCAAAGCGGCCGTCCATGACCGCGCCCCAGCCCGTAAGGGAGGCGTCTGTCGAAAGAACCAGCCGGCGACAAGACCCTCCCAGCACGGGCCCCTGGGACAGGAACCAAGTTTCCTTCCAAACTGATAGGGAACGAAGACACTTGTGCGTAACCCAAACCAGACGGAGAGGACTCCCCTCGGGGAAAAACCCTTGTTCCTTAGCCACCACTGCAGGGGTCTCATGTGCAGCAGTCCAGATGGTATTACGCTGGACGCAGCCGCCAGGAGACCCAACACTCGTTGAAAGTGTTTCATAGTGATGGCGTGGCCTAACTTCACCCCTTTCACGGCAGCCAATATGGTGTCGACACGTGCCGGAGACAATTGTGCCCGCATCGTTGTCGAATCCCATGCAACCCCTAGGAACGTAGCCCGTTGGGTGGGCGCCAGCACGCTCGTCTTTGCGTTGAGCCTCAGCCCTAAACGCCGCAGACGAGCCAGAACGACATCTCGATGCCGAACTGCCAACTCTCGAGACTGGGCTAGGATGAGCCAGTCGTCGATGAAGTTGAAATCCGGATGCCCCGGAGCCTCAGCGGGGCCAGTGCTGCATCCATACACTTGGTGAATGTGCTAGGGGAAGTGCCAGGCCGAATGGAAGAACCCGATACTGGTAAGCCACACCCCCGAAGGCAAACCTCAGGAACTTCCTGTGAGAAGGACGGATGGAGACCTGGAAATAGGCGTCCTTCAGATCTATCGTGACGAACCAATCCTCAGATTGGATGTGCGTCACGGTGGCGGGGATGATGAGCATCTTTAACCTGAATCTCCTCAGAGACCGGTTAGAACCCGCAGATCCAAAATAGGGCACGCAGCCCTCCGTCCTTCTTGGGGACTATGAAGTCTCTGTCTGGGGGGGAGACACGTTCCACGGCCCCTTTCCTCAGCAGAGTACAAACTTCCTGTCCCAACACCGGACCTTGCTCCGGGCGGACCACAGTCCAAACCACCCCCTCTCTTCTGTTGAATTTGGAGGGCGGGTTTTGAACTGTAGTCGATACCCATCTATGGCAGTGCGCAGGACCCGCGGAGAAATGTTCGTCAGGCTCCGCCAAGCGTCTGCAAAGTCTGCCAACGGAACCAGCCCCTCGGGGCTGGTGGTCGGTGTCTCGTGTGATCTTCTGGTGGACCCCTGAAGCCCCAGAACGGCAGGGGGGAGCCGCCGAAGATCCACGGTGAGTGAGTCGGGATGCCGTCCGTCTGCAGACCCTCGGGGCAGGCAGTACGGCGCGGACTCGGTGGTGGCAGGTGCGTCCTGAACGTGTAAACGGCGGGATAACATCACCTGTTGCCACGGCGGAGGGGACCTCGGTCGGCCTCCGGGGGGGGTGGGGGGGGTGCGGGAGGGGAGAAAGACTCCCCTACCCCGGTCTTCCCTGAGCTCTGTCGGGACTGGATGACGGTCCTCAGATCACGTCTCTCAGACGGCTGAGGGTGAGAGCGCCGTCTCGCTGCCCCAGCTGCCCCAGCGACACTCTGCTTCCCTCCTCTCCGTAGGAGCTCGTAGAGGGAAGGGACCTACGCCTGGCAGCCTCAGCTGCCTTGGGTCCAGACCGGCGAGGGAGGTACTGGCGGAACGCTTCGTGGTTCTGCGAAGCTCCGCCAGATCTTCCTCGGAGGGACCCCCCCTCTGAACCATCTCCTGTAGCAGGTTGGCTTGGTAGGCTTGAAGCACCGTGGTGTGCAAGCTCGCACCTGCCTGGCCCGCTGCCATGTACGCCTTCCCCACAAGCGTGGATGTGGTGCGACATGGTTTGGATGGTAATGCCGGCTTCTCCAGGGAGGACGCAAGTCGAGGGGAGAGATAGCTCGCAAGCTCATCCTCCACCCGAGGCATCCTCCCATAACCACGGTCCCTAACCCCCATCACATTACTGTAGTTCAGTGATCGGGGTGTGGAAAGCCATGTAGAGAAGGGTCTGCCCCATGATTTACTCATCATGTAAATCAGGAAAGAATGGCAGAGACCGGCGTGGAGGTGGCGTGTGGTGCTTAAGAAACCTTTCATCAAGCTACCACTAGCCTGTGGTGTCTGCTCCTCCTGTGGCCAGTTGATGTTGAGCTTAGCCACGGCTCTAGTCACCACCTCCAGCAGCACGTCATAGTCGGGCGCGGCCAGATGACGCCGCCCCGACACCCGGAAGTCATCGTCCACTGCGCTGAGCACGTCCGCCTCCTCGGAGTCGGATTGCTGCAGCGTCTCCGGCTCCAAAACCGCGAGCGGGAGAAGCCGAAAACGGGCTCCCGAACGAGGAAAGGAAGCGTCAGAGCCAGCGGATGAAGGTCGGGAAAAAGCCTCAGCCGTCCCGAAATCCTCCGACAGATCACGCTGTGAACCCATGAGTGAAGCCGCCGGGCCGCCTCAGCGGCCGCAGGGCCCGCGCCGCGGGGAAAACACATCCGGCTATCCTCGGAAAGAGAGCCATGCTGTACCTCAGTACCCGCACGGAAAGGGCTTCGCAACGGGCGCAGGCAGCCCCCTCGAGAGCTGCCCGGGCGTGCTCCATCCCCAAACATGAGACACACATCTCATGAGAATCTCCATCCGTGATGTACCGAGGGCAAGAAAAAACACACCTTCTGTACATCTGGTTGCCGGACATGCTGGTAGACTTCTTCTTCAGGTAAGACACACTGCTTGTAGGACTGGAGCTTTCTTCAAACAACATACAGAGCGCCTGCTGAATAAAAAAAAGCTAATGATGAGTGTGTACAGGTGTGCTTTATACTCCTCCGGTTATTCCGTCACACCTTACCGTTCTAGCAACAGGCCAATAGGATTGGAGTGATTTCATTCACGTTCAGACCTGCTTCGCCTAGAGGCGTTCCCATAGTGTCGTAACCGACGCAGTTCGAGTTCCCTCGAAGGGGAACTCTTTCAGTTTCATGTTCCCTCCCTGTTCTCACCT